CCCCAAAACCCCAAAACCCCAAAACCCCAAAACCCCACTCAAGCTAGCTTCAATGGAAAATAGATTTTAAAAATATGAAGAAATGAGCTTCTTGACATCATGCTTAAGTGCTTTCCTGATCAACCTCTTCCTAATACACTTAGGCTTGAGCCTAAGGCCGTAGGAGTTTTTATCAGTGACAGTCTCCTCTTCACTGATTCTAGAAAAGCTCTTGTTATCTTCCTTGAACCAATTTTCTCTTGTCTTAGGTCTTGGTTGTTCTTCGGCCTCATCCATTAGATTAAACTCGTCCTCTGTGTCTAACACAGATGAGTTGATTTTATCCATTGGAAGAGTCTCGAGGACTCGAGATCCTTCCTTTGGACTTTGGTGTCCTCTCCTGAAGGAATTGGATTCCTTCTCATTCAATTTAATCTTCTGCTGAAAACTACCCTTTGCACTAGTTGATGGCCTAGTCCCTGTGTTCTTCATCTTAGATGATCCTGACATGATCCTAGTTTTCTAAAATGGTTAGAGAGGAACAAAGGTAATTACCTTAGTCATATTCACATGTGTGTAAGCACTCACTGGCCTTGTTTTTACATTCAAACTTCAATTCTTAGAGATCTTATTTTCAAAGGTATCAAATCTGCTGTTGTCCAAGATTTTTATAGTAGAAGTTCCCATGAGCGAACTTGTGTCAATAGAGTTACTGAGATTAGCCCTATGATAGATCTTCTTTGAAATAAGACTCTCCTTCTTAGCATACTTGGTCTTACTAGACCGATGAAACTGTTGATGACTGAGTTCACGTGATTTATCTCTTTGGCGATGTATCCTTAGCCCTGTCTCTTTCTCCCCTCCGATGTAAGGTTCTGTTACCCGGAGGGTTGACTTGCTCTCCTCTAGCATCTGGCTTACACTGAAGTTCTTAGAATGTCCTTTCTTGTATGTTGATTCAGCAATACTTCTCTTCAGGTCGTTGAGTTCGAAATTCATGTTTTTATTTAACTACAAATTTAGATGGATCTTCTGGCCTCCAGCAGTAGTGGTAATAGCCTTCGATATCGAATCCTTCACGCATGATGGGATGATGCTTGCCGATCTCTTCCCTGATTCTCTGATTCTCTGTCCTGACTGAAAGAAAATTATAGAATCAAATAGGCAATTTAGAAGAAATCTGTGTTATCTTAAATTTATTTTGTATTGGATTTCTTAAGCAAACGTTACCTTTCATTCGGATCCGATCTTTATGTATCTGCTTTGTTGGGTCATCCACTCTGAGCCTCCAAGCAGGCTTCTCAGTGTAGAGCCCCTTGAAGTTAGTATATACACTCTGAGACTCGGTTCTAGTCCCCTTCTTTGCGCTTTTGGCTATTTTGGCTCTTGAGTTTTTGAAGAATTGATCTTTCGAAGCTTCTTCTGAAAACTTCGAGGTGAGGCTCTTCCCTTCTCTCATAGTACTGACTTTGGAGCTTTCTCTGGAATCATTTTTACCCTTATTGAACTGTTCCCAAGTGGTGATACCTTTATTGACACGAATTGTAGCAGCTAAAGAAATCAGGGAAGAATCTTACCCTTCATCCGCTTCTCTGGGCTTTGACTCCCAGAATTTTCAATGTTACCAGACCTAAAGTCTTCCCTTGTTACCATGAGTTTCTTTGGAAAAGCCTCTATAGCAAGGTCTTATCATGTACTAATAAGCAGTAATAAAATAAGTACCCAAACATTGCTTAAGGAGAGAATTTGTAGTACTGAGTTCCACAGAGTTTTGGAATATCCCATCAACAAAGGGATAAACTCCAGAGGAGCAGGGATAAGCCTCACCCCATTTTGTTGCCCCAAATGTTAATATTGCTCTATGCCACTTACTGTTGGTTTTATTGCAAAATTTTATAGTTGAAGCTTCTCCACTGGCACTTGTGTTAAACTTCCTCTTAAGCTTGAGTTTTGGTTTTTCTGAGCTAATCCTATTGACAAATTTCTTATAAACAGAGCCGCTATACATGCTTTAAATTATTTTATTTCAATATATTTTTTAAAATATGGGGTTTTGGGGTTTTGGGGTTTTGGGGTTTTGGGGTTTTGGGG